TAGCAGAGTTGCAGATTGTAGATGCCCTAGAAAACTGCTCTTACTCCCCCACAACAAGCTAGAATGAGCACCCTCAGATTGTGATGGAAGTACACTGGGCTGAAGAGATGGCTCAGTGAGTTAAGAGCACTGTCCACTCTTCCAGAAGACCCTGGTTCAATTCCTAGCAACCACATAACAGCTCACACCTGTCTAGTTCCAGGGCTTCTGAAACCGTCATCCAGAAATCCATGCAGGCAAAACACCAATAAACATACTAATAAAATTAAATTAGGGAGGGAGGGGGAACTGGTATGTAAAATAAAAAATATTTTTTTAAATAAAAAAATTTTTTAACCACAAAACAAAAAGAAAGTACACCATACGTCCTTAGTGCCCAGGCTGGTGCCTTGTAGCCAGGAATAGAAATAGAAAACCAGAAGAAGGGGAAAGACAAATGGCCTGGGCTTGTGGGACCCTAGCCTCAGCCCTGCTTCCAAAGAGCAGCTTCTCCACTACCTTTTTTCCAGCCTAGCGTAGCAATTGGTGACCTCACCATGGTATGATGTCATAGTTTTCCTACAGGAATTCCTATCAATGAACAGCCCAACCTGGGCTTATGATGAACTGCTATGGCATTAGGTCCATCCTGCCTTTTGCTTCTTCCTAACACACTCAAAGTGACCTTGGGGCCTGCCAGCTTGTTCTCAGGTTAAGTTTTAAAATATGAACCCTCTTGACTAGTCCCATCTGGCAAGCTGGCACCCTTCTTTGTGGCGAGGTCGAGGAATGTAATTTTGTGGATGAATTCCCTGTAACCTGAGCGGTCTGCTGAGTTTGTGTTCACTGCTTCAGCTGTTGCCATCCATTTTGCCAATTTGTTCCAGGTGCTCAATGTGCACTGGCCTCCAAGAACAGACACTTGCAGTCACCCTCACTGAGTTGCTACAGCAGGCAGTTCTGTAGGCCTCTATAGGATGGGCTGCCAAAACACACATGTCCAACTGGTTACGGGATGCCCCACGCCCAGACTAGAGGCTCATCAGTGTTCTCTCTCCTTCCATCCCAACCCTCTATCTCCCAGGCAGAAAAGAACACAGACTCAAGTGACTTTTACTACTGCTACCTGCTGTCCCTAGACCTTCTACAAACCCAGCCAATTCTGGGCAAAGTTCTTGCTCTTTTAACAATGGCTCCAGTGCTGAGCTATGATGTGAACTAAATGCTTTTTACTGGAAAATACTGATATGGATTATATCTGTCAACCTCTCTACTTCAGCTTGTTTGCAAATCTCTAGAACAAAATCTTCATACACAGAATATTCCTCTCCCTTCCAGCTACCTAAGACTTTACATCAAAAGCAGTCATGAGAGCAGCAAAAACTCCTGACCCTACCTGGAGGTTCAGCCACCACTTCAGCTTAATGAACCCTGTGGTCCTCAGCTACGTTTAAGGCAGAGCTTCACTCAAAGCATCGAGAAAGTGAACCTGAGGTGTTGACGTCAGGGGAAATAAACAATCTGCCATTTCCGTTGCGAGAACTCTTCCCCACCTTGAAATTATGAAGCTCTTTTAAATTTCACATTTAGGTGTTTGGTTCATCTGAATTTATAACCATGTGAAGTCATTCCTTGGGAGCTGCACTGCATCAGTTCTGGGGCCCTGGTTCCCCATATGAAAATCTGCAGGTGCTGGTGTCAGCTTTCAAATTGTGTTCTACGTGCACAAAAACCTGTGTACATTCTCTGTATAGTCAAATGATCTCTAGATCACTTGTTCTTTTTAAAATTTATTTATTATGTATACAGTGTTCTGCCTCCATGTATGCCTGCAGGCCAGAAAAGGACACCAGATCTCATTACAGATGGTTGTGAGCCACCATGTGTTTGCTGGGAATCGAACTCAGGACCTCTGGAAGAACAACCAGTACTCTCAACCTCTGAGCCATCTCTCCAGCCCGCTAGATCACTTGTAATACCCAACATGATATAAATGTTATAGCAATCAGTTCAACATTTGAAGAACTTTCCATGTGGAGTAGCTTAAACCTAGAGAAAATGAAACTGCAGACAGGGAGGGACCATGTGTAGGGAGAAGGCCACCGTTCACCTTCCCATAGTAATGATTATGATCATTCCATGCCAAGCCATGTTCTTTGCCTCCCTGGTCTGCCATGTGACAGAGCAGCTTTCCTATGAGTCTTTGTCTCCAGGTCAATCTATGTCCTGGAGAAGTATTCTGTCAAAGGCCTTGACATTTGGTAGAGAAAACCTTCCTTTCCTGTGATCTGGCTCTTGCTTTGATTCTTCAAAGCCCTTTGTACTTCGTGTATACCTCAGAACCTACTTTCCAGTTTCCATGGGAAAATAATATGAATTAAAATTACTCTACATCTACAGATCAATCTGGCAAGAGGACCTTTTGACAATGAGTGTTCATTTTCAATAAGTATCATTACCATTTTCTTCCTGTATGAGTGAGTGGGTTTTATTTGGATGGGCAGCTAAAATTTATAAGGTTGTTACTCTCAGAAATTGCTCTAAATATTTCACTTCCTCTGTTGATAATTTATAAAAATGTAACTCTGTATGCAACAACCTTGCCAAATATTTTAACTTTCCTCATTTCTCTATGGATACTATGTGTCTTCTATGTAGTCAAATACATCATCTGTAGATAGTGATAATCTTAGTTCTCAAGTTTTTGTGTCTTGTGTTTCTGGGAAAGAAAACAAAACAAAACAAAACAAAAATAAGAATCCTATCCAGTTTCTGATGCTGTAACTGTCATCACTAAGCATTTGATATGGTCACTGACACTGGAGATCCTCTTTTGCTGCAATGCTTCCTAACTGGAGGCAAGTTCATCTACCAGGAAGGATCACTTGTGTCCCCTCTAATCTGTGGATGCTGCTGAGACAGTGAATAACATTCACTGACTCCCTGATTTGTATCTTTTACATTGTATCAGTGACATACTGAAACCCACAGCTAAACCTTTACCTAAGAGAACTATTTGGGGTAAAATACTACAAGTTAAAAGATCAGAGCTCAAAGGAAATTAGGTGCAAGTACAGAGAATTTCTCCTTTGGAATCTGGCCAAGATGGCAAGGCCTTGTTAATGTAACTGACAGCAGTGTGCTAGAGGCTGAGCAATGACTTATCAACTATAGATACTTTGTAGTGGGGTGGTGGTGGGAGGTACTGCCTTAATGTAATTGGGATTTTAATCATTTTTATATTAAATTTATATTGGACAAGTGGTCTCATGAAAATACTTTTAAAATTATCAGTGTATCAGTTAAACTGGGTTTATAATTAGTAAAGTTTCTCACTTCTTTTTTAGAAAAATAATTTATAATCCACATATACCCATATATCCACTGACTATGGGGGGGGGGGCTTTTAAAACACAGGCATTTGAAAGCCTCCTGTCAAAGTTACCTTATCCAAGCAGGCAGTTGCTATGGCTTATGACAATTTCCTAACTTCTCTTCACTTGATACAACAGAGTAACAGAAGAGTGTGTCTTTATAGTTACAATTTTAATAGGATGCATCTTGCTATACAAATGTAAGTTTTCTGGTTAGGTCTCTAGTTACTTATATTTCCTCTCCCTATAATTTGTCCTGAGTTGATCTTTTCTAAACAATTTAAGTTGCATATTTGTACCCTTCTGTGTATGACTGAAAGCAGAATACATCAACACAGTAAAATCACACTGAATACAAAACAGCTACTGTCTTGTGACAGCACATATACAGAAGGGTGAAAGGCCAGAGGGGAATCCCACAGGCCATAGCACTGGGCAGCTGCTTAGACCAGACACTGTGCTCAGTTGGGTATTTTGGTAACTGTTATCTCAAGAACTCATATTTGTTTTTGATCTTTCTAAATATTTTGCTTGCTTTCTCACTGGGAAAAAGAGATGTGTTTACTAAAAGGTTGTCTTCTCTTTGATATATGGCATGTTGAATTTACTAGTATTTCATGTCCTGGACACAGATCAGTCCTGTGTTCCTCCAGAAGAGCTGTGAAAGACTCTGACTGCCAACCACACCATCAGTAATAGTGGACCCCACTGGAAGTGGAAAACTCAATAAAAGAAAGCTGTTTTAATCTAGTTAGCTCCTAGATTAAAACATGTCACATGAATTTTCAAGGCATTTTAAAATCCACTTATATTTTAAAAAGAATTACAAACTAAGGTACTTTTTTAACAATGCAGAAGTGAACATCAGAGAATGATGTGTACAATGGTCCTGGACAATGCTCGAGACAGGGTGGTCAGAATCATGATGCTATACAACCTACAATAAAACACTCAGAAGACTGTTCTGCACAAGCTAACCATTAGCATCTCCTTACAAAGAAAACAGGATGTCTCTCTTGTTGGAAATTTTATAAAATTTGTCTCAACATGAATACCAACAAGCCATTTACCACACTGTCTGTGAACTTGTCAGAAACCAGAGAACTGTGGTGTCTGTTACATCATGTCATTTAGGATTATCTCTAGCACTACCCCATCGGGCGAATACAACCAACTAACGTTATTAGAGCATGTAAAATGGATATGTTCAGTAAATCCTGGCCTTATAACAGCCTTTGTTTAAATTTAACTAGATTGTGACAGTAGGCTGGCAACATTACTATTCACTCAAGACCAACAAGAAGATCAAATGACTAGGAACGAAAATAGCACTGGGAGGCAGTCATAAAAGATGAATGACGAAACAGGAACAGAGCGTCAGTTTCAATGGGTGGTTCTGAGAACCTTACTCCACCGAAGGCTCTAAACATTCCCTGAAAGCCTGGCTGCTGGAGGCAAGCCCATGCTCTGGGCCTACCCTCACAGCAGACATTCCTCAAAGCAGACAAAGAAAGAGTACTTCAGTTAAATCCTGTCCTGGAGGTGGCACAGCAAGCAGCACTGGGAAGGAAGCAGAAAAAAGCACTCATCTTCATGTCCTCATGCTGTGTGACAGTGACAACTGACTACAGTTCCAGGCTACCATACCTGTGCTTTTTGATGCCATTGGAGAGCGCATCTCCTCCGCCACAATCTTTTCCTTCGGACATTCTGTGTTTCCCACTGCTCACGGGTGCTTTGCTCTCTTCAAAGGAGTGTGCTGTCACAGCTTCCAGGC